TGGCTTGGGTGGGATGTAGTGGCGGGGAGAGTAACTAATTGTGTGGTTGCAGGCTGGTGGCCGGAAACCTCTCCTGCTAGGGGCACCGATGTCATTTCTCCCGGTGGACAGGGACTGACCACCCAAACCACCCATGCAATGCATTTTTGTTCTTCAGAGATACCAGGAAATAGAGAGTTTCCTGCGAATGATACTCAAAGAACAGCAGAGTACGCGTGACTTTGAGAATCGTCTTAAAATCGCTCCTGGAGAAAAGCCAAGTATCTGCCTCCCTGGGCCATACGACAGAACTCCCGATAAGGAGAGGGGAGGTTCAGGAGTCCAAGTTAGTGAATCATCAAGGCCTTTCTTCTTTGGGGGGACCCTGCATAGAGAGATGATAATGCAGCTATGAGGAAGGAACAACAGCAACACTGACAATTTTAGTATATGTTCTGCCGAAGCGAGCACAACAGCAATACTGACAAAAAGCCAAACCATACTGGGACTTGTTATTCAGTGGAAGGCCCCGCCAGTGAGCAAGGACATCATGTGATTTAAAAAAAAAAAAACAAAAAACATTGATGGGGCACCTGGGTGGTTCAGTTGGTTACACGTCTGCCTTGGGCTCAGGCCATGATCTTGGAGTCCTGGGACTAAGTCCCGCATGGGACTCCCCACTCAGCAGGGAGTCTACTTCTCCATTTCTCTCCCTCTGCCACTCACTTGCTCCGTCTCTCCCTCTAAACAAATAAAATCCTTTTTTAAAATTTGGCTTTTTTTCTGATTATAAAAGTACTACACGTTTCTTGTAGAAAACTTAGAAAATACAGATGTCCTAGAATAAAAAGTAAAAGAAAATTTCCTACAATCCCACCACTCTGATTACAGTTAATATTTTTAGGGATATTCTTCAGTTTCTTTTGCGTATGTGTTTAACCAGTCCCTGTTCTAACAGTTTGGTACAATAGAAAAAATTGTGATAAAACTCCCTGTAAAGAAGCCTTTGTACTCATCTGCTTCTTTCTTTTTAAATAAATTTCCAGGGATGCCTGGGTGGCTCAGTTGGTCAAGCTTCTCCTTCAGCTCAGGTCATGATCCCACAGTCCTGAGATAGAGTCCTGCATTGGACTACTTGCACGGCGGGGAGCCTGGTTCTCCCTCTGCCTGCTACTCCCCCACTTCTCTATCAGTCAAATAAATACAATCTTTAAATTAATTATTAAAATAAATTTCCAGAAGTGGAATAAAGGATACATTTAAATTTTTTTGAGTTTTATCTTTTAGTAAGAGGGTGTTAATTTATATTCCCAACAACACTTACATTTGTCAAATTTACATGTTGTGTTTTAAAAAATCCTCAACAAGGAAGTACCACACTGTTTCTAAAAAAAATTTTTTTTAAGTTTTTATTTATTTATTTGAGAGAGAGAGAGAGTGAGTGCGCACAAGCTAGGGAAGAGGCAGAGGGAGGGAGAAGCAGATTCTCTGCTGAGCAGAACGCCCAATGTGGGCTCCATCCCAGGACCCTAGGATCATAACCTGAGCCGAAGGCAGATGCTTAACCAACTGAGTTACCCAGGAGCCCCTAAAAAAATTCTTTTGTAATGTCTTTGCTAGTGAGTATGAACATTTTCAAAATGATACTAATCCATTTGAATTTCTTCTTTCACGGCATGCCTGTTCATCCATTTCTGAATTTTGGTGTTAGTGTTTTATGTAGTACTGATTTACAAGAGGTCCAAGTAGTAAGACAAACTTAAGTCACATTTGTTAAAAACATTTTCTCCAATTTGTCATTTGCCTTTTCAGTGATACTCGACATGTCTAAGTCTTGCACACTCATTCAAATATATATACTCATCCTTTGGTTTCTTCCTGTGCTTTGTATCTAGGCTTTCTCCTCTGAAATAATTCACCTATGTTTTCTCTTAATTGTCTTGTGATTTTGTTGTTGTTTGCTTGTAGTTCTATGGGCTTGATAAAGCTAATTTATAGGTAGGGACCCATAAAATGGAGGCCACCCTAGTGACCTGTTCCACATCACAAACCCAAACCTAAGTCAGACTGCACTCTTCCGGAAACACCTGGCAGGGAAACCTAACATACACCAGTCACGAATCTCCAAATTAGCTTTAGCTAGTTTACCTTACCTTAGAAAATAGGACCGGCTAGCCTTCTAAGGAAATCCCCATTGCCTTTTCTAACATCCTGGAAAACTTGCTCTTGCCCCAAATCCCTTTGGAAGACAATTCCGCTGCTGGTGAGGCACTGTATTCCCCCCCCTCCATGGACTGTCTTCCCTTGAATAAAGGACATCAAACTTGTCATTAAATTTTTTTAGTCATTTGACAGGTTCTTCTATTTACTTTGGAGATGGTTTAAATAAATCTCTATAGTTACTAATTTCCCCAGCCTAATTTATTGAAGAATTTATCCTTTTCCCCACAAAAGTGAAATGCCACACTTATCCTAAGGATGATACTTAAATATCTTATATACGCATCTTGACTTCAATTATTCCACTGATGCTTACCTGCCCATTGTTTTACCAACACCACACTATTACAATTGCAGCTTGGCAATATGCTCTAAGATTTGGTAATGCAGGTCTAGCCTCCCTTCTTAGTTTTTCCTCACAGATATTCTTCCCTTTGAGTGTTAGAAAAAGTGTTATATGTCCTCCCTCACTCCCCACTATCTATCTGTAATCATTAGAATTTTATTAAAAAAACTAACTTGAGGGGCGTCTGAGTGGCTCAGTTAGTTGACCATCAGACTCTTGATTTCAGCTCAGGCCTTCAACTCAGGGCTCTGAGTTCAAGGCCCAGGGTGGCCTCACGCTGGGCACGGAGCCCACTTTAAAAAAAAAAAAAAAAGTTAATTTGAGTAAAGTCGGTATTTTCACTTCCTTCTATTTCTCCAAACCTTTCTTATCATGTTTCAACTTTTCTAATTTCATTAAGAGCCTGCACTTAACAGTAAGTTTATTCCTAGGTATTTTATATTTTTACAAGAGTATATATATATCATATATATACATACACATATATGTATATATATACACATACACACATATATATTACATATATTATACTACAATAAATATATGTATTACATTAAAACTGCTCTTTAAGCTCCAGTTGAAGCTTATCAAAGCTGACTTAAAAATTTTTTTCCAGGGACCCCTGGGTGGCTCAGTTGGTTAAGCCGCTGCCTTCGGCTCAGGTCATGATCCCAGCGTCCTGGGATTGAGTCCCCCATTGGGCTCCTTGCTCGGCAGGGAGCCTGCTTCTCCCTCTGCCTCTGCTGCCACTCTGTCTGCCTGTTCTCTCTCTCTCTCTCTCTGGCAAATAAATGAATAAAATCTTTAAAAAATAATAAAAAAATTTTTTTCCAGGTGGGTTATGTGCTTGCAGGAAATCAGTCAAAAACTAAAGGTTCTTTAGGCATGGCTATTTATTGTTGTTGTTGTTGTTTTTATACTTGTCATGGCCATTATCCTTTTACAAGAATTATCTTATGTGATAATACATTATCTCCAGCAGGCTGGTGCAATTTTTATTCCCATTTTACACAAAAAAGTTCCCAGCCTCAGAGTGTGTGAGGAACTTGGCAAAAAACATCCACTTTGTAGGTGGATTTGAAACACATCTGTGACTCTCCAAAAGTATCACACACACAAAAAAGTCAGCCAACAGGACAGCTCACAGAGGAGCCAATAGATCAGCTGATACGAGGGAGTGCCCTTCCGAAAACAATCAGCTGGATTAAAATGACAATGCTTTCCATCCACCGTACCCTTCCAAAAGACAGGTTTTCCTCTAACCTAAGACGAGATCTACACTCTGCAGGAACATGATAAATACCAGTTGGTATACTGATCTCCTTTAGAATTAAGGACTCGTGGATAACCAAGAGTGGCTTTTCTCGAGCTTTCGTGGGAACTGTCCGTTTGGAAATCTACCTCCCGATAGCAGGACAAGTTTGGAAACAACAACAACAACAGAGAGAAAGAAAAAACAGGTGAAACCTAACGTAAGGTTGGCTACAGCGGAGCACGCGGGAGACAGAACTTTCTGGGGGCATCCTGCCCGCGCGTTTCACGCGTGGTGCGCGCAGGTGGCGCTACGGTCCCTGCGCTCCGCGTGCAAGCCCACGAGGCGCCCGGGAGGCCACCCAGAGACTCCCCGAAGGTGAGAGGAAGCTTTCCACCCAGGCGGGGGAGGAGGGCGGGCAGGAAGCAGAACCAGCCCTGGCGAAAGAAAGGACTCCAATTCCCAGCCCCCCGCCCCGCGGGGGTGCGGGCCGGCGGCGCATGCGCGACGCCCGGCCCCCAATTCCCCCAGCGAGGGAGGGAGGCCCCCGGCGGCCGGGAGGCTGCGAGCCGCGGCGGGACCCGAGCGCACACAGGGGCGCGGCGGCGGCGGGGGCGAGCGGGGCTGCGGAAGCGGCGGCGGAGAGTGTGGAGCGCCCCGCTTGTCCGCCCAGACGCGTGCAGGCACCCGAGGGCACCGCCGGCTCGGCCCTGATAGGGGCCTGGCGCCCGCAGCCCCCCACGGCCGAAGAGGGATGCGTGAGTTTCGCCCCGGCTCTAGGGCAGGATGTGGGAGCAGGACAAAGGCTGGGCGGCGGGGGAGGAGTGGGGGACGGCGAGCCGGTGGCCGCTGCCGGAGCTCCAGCCTCGGGCGACCTACCGGAGCCCACAACTTTCCCTGCAACTTTTGCAAAAAGGAAGATAAAAATTCTGCCAGTTGTTGCACAGCTCCAGGTCGCTCCGGCTCCCGCGAGCAGAGGGCAAAGGGGCACCGTACCCTCGCCGGGACCGGAGGCGACCACCAGCTCCGCCGAGCGGGGCAGGAATGGGCGCCCGTTCGGGCCCCAGCCGGGGACGAGCTAGGGTAGGGGTGCCGGGGGTCGGAGCCGGGGAAGGGGGCGTGCTGCGGCTGCTCGAGTTGCCGTGTCCACGCAGGGTGCGCCCTAAGGGCCCGGTAGCGTCGGATCGCTGCGCTGCAAACCCGATGATGGATGAGCCGTGGTGGGAAGGGCGCGTCGCCTCGGACGTCCACTGCACCCTGCGCGAGAAGGTCAGTTCCTCCCCGCCGCGGTCGTGGGGCTGGGCATCTAATGGGGTCTCGATTCGATGTTCTCACGTCGTCCCGCGTAGGTGCTCAAACTCCCGATGCCTTGCCTTGGTCCTGCCCTTCCCCTTCTCCCGGAGTGTCGTGGGGGGAGACATTCGAGGTTGGGAGAGCTTTAACTGGTCTTACTTATTAAGAACCCAGACGGCTCAACGGAGATAGTCATTAAACTGCGTTTCCCATAGTATTGACAGCTGAGGTAATTTTAAACAGTACGTTTAAAAAAAAAGATTGTGTATTTATTTTAATGTGAAATTTTAAAATGTATATCTAGCAAGTTCTGCATAGGCTAGATTATAATGATTCCCATTGATTGTAAAGATACAGCAGTTTAAGATAGAAAAAGTTGTAACTCGATGTAAAGAAATGATAGGTAAATGAAAGTACGTGATATATATAGTTACGCCCCCCTCAAAAAAAAAAAAATCTCTGGGATGGGACTGAATAAAATTTAAGAAACACTAGTCTAAAAGAGAGGTTGCAAAACTGGGAGGATGTGGGGAGAAAACAAACACTCCCCTCCCTCTGCCAGTTTGCCTCTGGGGGCAGCTGAAATGTAATCCCTACATTCACTCCCCTCACCTTAAAGGGAGAAGTGCTGATGGGCATGGTGAAGGTAGAACTTCCAGGGTTGGTGGCATGGCCTGTGTGTCTTGCCTCCTGCTTCTGGGCTGAGACTGGGAAGGGTGGTTTGGGAAACAGGTGTGAAATAGAGGAGTGTATTGGTTTTCTTTCTTTTTTAAGATTTTATTTATCTATTTGACAGAGAGAGAGCGCGCGCCCATGAGCAGGGGGGAGAGGGAAAGGCAGACTCCCCAGTGAACAGGGAACCTGATGTGGGGCTCGATTGTAGGACCCTGAGATCATGACCTGAGCCACGCAGGTGCCCCTTGTGTATTGGTTTTCTAGGGCTGCTGTGACAAGGGGACTTAAAACAACGGAAATGTGTTCTCTCACAGTTCTGGAGTCTAGAAATCCAAAATCAAGGTGTTGGCAGGGCCATTCTAATCCTTGGAGTTCTTGGCTTGCAGATGCGTCATTCCAGTGAGTTTGGTTGTCACAGGTCGTTCTATGTGTCTGTCTGTTTTCTCTCCTTATAAGAACACCACTCATTGGAATAGGGTCTACTTTAATCCAGTAAGACCTCATCTTAATTACGTCTGAAAAGACCCTCTTTCCAAATAGGACCACCTACAGAGATTGTAGGTGGACATGAATTTGGGGACATGGGTAGATACTATTCAGCCCAACATAGGGAGGGAGAGGTCTTCCTTGTGGGGTACCTGGGTCCCTACACAGACAGGTCCCACAACCAGTGCATTTGTATCCATTGTCTATGGAGTTCTGCTTAAAAAGTTACCAGCTGTTGGGGCACCTGGGTGGCTCAGTGGGTTAAGCCTCTGCCTTCGGCTCAGGTCATGATCTCAGGGTCCTGGGATGGAGCCCTACCTGGGGTTCTCTGCTCAGCAGGGAGCCTGCTTCCCCCTCTCTCTCTGCCTGCCTCTCTGCCTGGTTGTGATCTCTCTGTCAAATAAATAAATAAAATCTTAAAAAAAAAAAAAAAGTCACCAGCTGTTGAGGGTTTTTTTCCCTCAAGGAGGGAGTGGCTGTTTTCCATTATTATTATTATTAATTTTTTTCCTGTACCTATTAATCTACCTCTGTCTGACATTGGTTCCCCAGGCTGTAGTTCTTTTCTGCTTCCTTTGGTCCTCTTCTGGGAGAACAGAATGACCAGGGTACAGCCCATTCTGGTCATCTGGAGAAGGAACCCAGGTCTTGGTGGTTAGGTAGAAAGCTGGGATAGCCGTTGGTGTACCAGGCAGTCTAGTCTTGGTTCTTTCCCAGAGCTGGTGGCTAAGTGAAGTAGTGAGAACTGTCGTGGAAACTGGGCTTCCTTGTTTCTCATAGGCTTGAGTATAGTCAGTTCTGCTCAGATCTTGGGAGCAATGACTGTTCATGATTTGTCCCTTTGATGCAGGAAGGCTTTCTGCGAGCAGCATAAACTGAGCTAGCTCAGTTACCTGAGAACCCCCCATCTTTTATACGAGCCTTCCAGCTGCTCAGAGGAGCGGGGCAGACAGTCCCCTGTTAATTGTGCCTCAGCCACACCGCGGTGCTGTGGTAATTTCTTACGGGCTTCCCACCTCAGGGAGGACACGTATGTCCAGATTTTACAGGTTAGAAATAGAAACCTCACCCAGGGGTTGATGCCCGGGGTCTTTTAAGGCCAAATCCCATGTTCCTTTGGCTATGGTGTCCTACCTCCCCAATATATTAACTATTTTTCTCCTTTATTTCTTCTCTCTGCTCAAAGAAACAGATGCCCCTTGAGACAATTTGGCTTTATGGAGAGTTTGCAGAGAAAAGTGAGGACTAGGGGGAACCCACACCAACCTCTCACCTTTCTTAAGGAATGAGGGCTGGCCTTTAATTTTCCCCAGAGTAATTTTTTGGTAGGCATCTATTCCAGTAATACATTTCTAACGCTGTAGGACAACTTCGCAAGTGTCTTGCACTTAGTCGACCCTCGTTGTTTGTCACATGTTGCCAGGTGAACATAAAACACATTTGCTCGTGTGCTGTTGAATTGTCAGTCATTGAACCAGGAGCGGTTCTGCTCCCTGATTGATGTAGGAAGCAAGGCTGATCACAGAGATAATGGGAGCCCCACTTTGTCAGATGTGCAATTCCAGAATAACATTGTACTATCGTGTGCAAAATGTGATACTGTGGAAATGAACTGTGGTATTGGATGCGAACTAGTTACCATGGTCAGACTCTGAGCCACTTGTTTAACTTCTCAAAACTTGGAACTTGGCCCCCATTGTCCATTCTCCCCACTACCACCAGAACTTAGATCGTGTCGGTTCCCTGCTTAAAGACCTCCAGTGTCATCCCGTTGTACTCACAGTGACCTCTGCCTGTAATACCTGACACAGTTGGGCCCTGGCCCGCTCTCCGACCTTGTCTCCCACTCCTTCCCATACTGACCTCCTTTCTCTTCCTTGAATGAGTCAAGCTTATTCGGTGTCTCCGGGCCTTTGCACTGGCTGTTCCCTGTACTTGAAGTCTGTATTCCTCTTTTACTGTTCTCTGTGTCTCTCCATCAGATCATCCTGTTTTCTTTCCTTTATAATATTTGCCAGTACCTGGATTTATTTTCTGTTGATTATCTTCTCCCCTACACTAGAATGTATGTTCTGCAGGCATTGGCCTGTGTCTGTCTTGTTGAGTGCCAGGTGTCAGTATCCAGAATAGAGTCTCCTTGATCTGAGCAGAGTGGCAAGAAGAATGAATCTCCTTTGGGATTTTTTTTTTTTTAATATTTTATTTATTTATTTGTTAGAGAGACAGGCAGAGTGAGAGAGGGAACACAAGCAGGAGGAGTGAGAGAGGGAGAAGCAGGCTTCCCGCAGAGCAAACAGCCTGATGTGGGGCTCGATCCCAGGACGCTGGGACCATGACTTGAGCTGAAGGCAGATGCTTAATGACTGAACCACCCAGGCGCCCCTCCTTTGGGATATTTTATAGGCATGTTAGGAGTGAGTGAGGACCTGAGAACTTGGGAGATATGTCACATGACAGGCATTGTGCCTTTCCACTTAATGATTGTTAAATGTGAAGCTGAATGTGAAATGGATCATCGCTTTCACGTAGTGTGTGGTCAGAGTAAGACTTGGGGTTTGTGACCACCCTCAGAAGGCTTCACAAGTGTGACAGGTAATCCTTATTAAGAAAGGCATCATTATCCCATTGGGCTTTTGAGTGGCAGGGGGTTGAGGCTGGGAAAGCCATCAGTTTGCCAAAAGTCATGTCCTTGGGACCCAGCAGCTAGACACCATCAGCAAAATCTAAGCAGTTAGCCTAAAGCATCCTGACCATGTGGGGTAGAATGGAACCCTCCTCCCACCCACATCCCTCTGGAGAAATGTCTCCCTCTCCAGCTATTTTATTCCCATGCTCAGCCTTTAATTGCTCCCTTCATCATCCTTCCTGGCTCTATTGCTTCTGCTGGAACCGACCTAGAACTCCTTTCTCCAGCTACTTCCTGCTGGGGGTCGGGCTGCCAGCCGGTACTGGGGTGGGGGTGGCGGTGGTGGTCAGGTTTCTTTCTTGTAACACCTGTGCCCTTGAACTTCAGTGAGCACGAGGAGGGGAACAGATCCTCACCAGGCCAGTGGTGACAGTGAGGCTGTTGGTGATGTTTCCCTGTAACCAGGTGTATATCCCCATGAGTATTCAGATTAAAGCTGAGAGCCCATTAAAACCTGGGGCGCCTGGGTGGCTCAGTCAGTTAAGCATCTGCCTTTGGCTCAGGTCATGATCCCGGGGTCCTGGGATCAAGCCTTACATCGGGTTCCCTGCCCAGCAGGGAGCCTACTGCTCTCCCCTGCTTGTGGTTTCTTGCTCTTGCTCGCTCTCTCGAATAAAATATTGAAAAACAAAAAACAGAAAAAACTGAGAACCACCTTTTCTTGTTTCCCCAAAAAGAGGAACCCACCTTAAGTTTAAAATTTAAGACCCCCACCCTCCCAAAGCCATGTGGACAAGCCCTACCTGGCATGATCTCATAGCTTTATCTTCGGGACCCTGGGGAACCTGTGTGCCAGAGGCTCCCTCCATCCTTTTCACCTCCTAGGGTCGGGGTCATATGATATCTTGGGGGTCTTCTTGGCCTGCCCCAGACCTGCAGTCAGCCTACTTCCTGAAGCTTGCCTCATTGTATACTTAGAGAACTTTACCTGTCCGAGACACATTTCGTGAGCCGGTAGACTGATAGAGGACATTTTTACTGATCTGTGACTGAATTTATACAAAGCTCTTCCTATAAACCATCAACAAAAATGATGTTTAGTGATGATAATCTTGGCGGCTACTGTCTGTTGAGCACTCACTGTTTCCGGCGGTGTGCCGGGCGCGCTCTGCTCCCCAAGCATTGACCC